CCAAATAGGCCGCTTGAGCAAGTAAAATTATACCCACAGCCTATTTATTTGGAAAGAGGAATTAATTGTGATCAAAAGAAACGAAAAGAAATAGAAAAAAGGGAATGAAAAATTTGCCAACCTATATATTAAAATAAAAAATAATTTGATAAAAAATTTGTATTTGGTAGGTTGAAAATGATAGTAAATTTGTTGATAAAAATTATGATAAACTAGGAAAAATATGCAAGTGATCATATCAACCTTAATGAATATTTATTAATCAATTAAGATAAACCATTAAATAAATATAAATATTAAATAAGTCACTTAATAAATAACAAGATTAATAGATCAAAATAAGAGATCATAAAATATATTATCGTATATAAATATTAATTAATATATAAATATGAAATTAAATACAAAATATAGCACAAATAAAAAAAGACAAAGAAAGGGTTTCTTGAGTTGAAAGTCTCAAAACATGGAGTGTGAATCAAACCCATATTTGAATTGAAATTGAGATATTGATGCAAGTTCTTTCCTATTTTACTATGTTCAACTCTATATGTATTCCTCTATCTGTGGTTTACATTGAATGTACAGAAAAGTAGGAATTGACAAGCTAAATACTTAACTTCTTTAGAGTCCTGTTCTAGAGGCGGCTGAAGTTCAAGGGCGCAATCAACCAACAAATTTGAGTTACTTTCTGTAAGTAAATTTGTTTTTTCAAATTTTCTTACCTGTCATTGAAATCGGTTCCCACAAAAAACAAAAAAAAGAGAGGGAAGGGCATTTTCTATATATTCCCTTGTTCTATTTATAAACTTTAAATTTGAAAAGAAATATTGTCTATTTTATAATTTTTAATTTTTTTGGCCTGAATTTTATGATTTTTAATTAAGGTTTATCGTAATATTTAATTTTTTTATGCTACTCTTAATTATTTTTCTCTTATCATGTTTTTTCATACATTTTCTTTCATGTTTAGAAACAAAAATTTATTTCGAACTTATTTATTATTTTTAATTAATGTAAAAAATAAAAAAATTTTATTTGCGTTGCAAAATTTCACAGCTGTTCCCACTTCCCGCGTCTCACCCACTTTTTTTGACCTCAGGAGCATTTATTGCAGTCAGAGGTACAGGTGCACATTATATACAAAGGCAGATACTTTAATTATGTTCCACATGATCCACCCTTAATTCAAAATATACACACGCAATTCAAACAATTGATTAAATTTAGTTAAAAATAATAAATATGTAAAGACATAATTTATTTACAAAAAAGATGAGTGGGAGAGAGAATAAGTGAAATAAAAAAAAAGAGATATATAGTTAATTAGAGATAAAAATAAAAAACACATTAAATGATGAGCTAAATTTAAATTGTAGTTTATAAAAAAAATCAAGTCACTTTAACGATTTAATACTTATATTTTAAACTAAAAAGAATATTCTATTAAATCGAGCTAAACGTATGAAAGGGTAAAAGGTCTAGGATACGTTCACTAGATTGAAAACAGAATAGGGCACGCACTTCACATTCAATTTCACAGTGAAATTCAGATTGAATTTTCAAAGGTTGTTACGAGTCCAAACTTGGTGTTAATGGTTCCAATGGACAACCCTACCAATAGCTGTCAAGCGGACGGTTAAGTGTCAAAAACTTAACATTGCACGCCATTTAAATCCTACTGAATTTTATTTTTTATTTTTATTTTAAAAAAATTTTACACGGTTCGTATTTTAAAAAAACAACATTTTAATGTGTACAAAATTTGAAATAAAAATAACTTATTAACTATTAGTTTTTCAAAATAATAAATTTTTTATTTAAAAATTAGTAGTATCTAAACTGTTAAAACTATAGTTAAACAGTACAGGTGTAATGGGTGTTGAAACTAGTTCCGTATAATTATACATTGCATCCCATGATTTAACGATGACAACACAAAACGTTCCATAAACAGCATTGAGCCTGTTTGGCTCAGCAGTTAGAGGTTCATAAGTTACTTTTTTTTAACCAGAAGCATGTTTGAAAAATTTATGGTATTTGGATTGGTGGTGGAGCAATCTTGACTTTTGCATAAAAAGTTACAATAATCTATAAGTAGAAATTAGCTGCTTATGGCTTATGGCTTATAGTTCATGACTTTTGAAATATGGAAGGATAAAAAGTTACGAAATTTACTACTTCCTCTAGTTATTATTATAATCCTCAAATAACTAATTTGTGGATAACAAAGAATTAGTTAAAAATAATAAATAAGTTAGAAATATATTTTTGTTTTCAAATATGCCCTTATAATAAATGATAAAAAATAAAAGAAATATATGAGATTAGCAGGAGCTTATAAATAATTTAAAATTATTATATTATGTAAATTGATAATTTTTTATTTGTTATTATTTAATAAAAGTCATACCTATTTTCGTAATCTTACAAACTAAAATTACTTATTCAATCATAATCCAAACAATTTACTTTCACAAACTAACTCATTTATAAAAATCAATTCAAACATAAACAATATTACTCAATGTAACTTTTTCAAAAGCCAAATTGAAAATAAGTTACTTTTTCTAGTAGTAATTCAAACGGGCCATTATAAATTAGTGATCTAATTATAAAATCAAGACCAAATCATGTGAAAATTTTGCATAAGCTTATCGTGTACAAGTTAGCACATCCAACCATGATTTTCAAGGGCCACAATGGCTCCACCAAGTCAAAACTATAGTGGTCAAAAGATTAATTTTTCCTATTATATTTTATATCACTCATCATAACAAATTTGTTGGTGGGGAAAAATTCTTAAGTTTTAATAAATAATTTGTTATACTTTTTATAAATTGCAAATTCACAAGAGATTAGGACCCTTTTAGGCAAATATATATACATGTAAGAGTACTATATATATTTGCAAGTATTTTTTTTAATCTCTATAGTGACGTTTTAAGACTCTAAAGTCTATACATGTAGTAAAAATCATGTGTTTTATAATAAGAAAAAGAAGTATGTCACCCGAAAAAAAAAAAGAAAAAAAGAAGAAAAAGAAGTGACAGAACTATACAAGGTCCGTTTGGCGCTAAGTTATTTCAATGGGAAAACTTCGTTTAAGGACCGCAGTACATAATTAATTTCAAAGAGCTTCTAAAACTTTTTTGAACTTCACTGCAGGACCAAAGGGCAAATGATATTAATTTCACAAAGAAAATGACACTATTGCCCCTCATGTGAACAAGTGTGGGAGTGCCCATTTGCAAGTGAGACTAGACAATTTGCAATATACATATATATATATATTTCCAATTGCAATTAGTTTATTTACATGTCACCTCCTTCACCTGAAAAAGATATTCGTGAGTGAACAAGTGTGGGAGAACCAATTTGCAAGTGGGATTAGGCAATTTACAACATACATACATTTATTTACAACTAAAATAATCCGTTTACATGTCACCTCCTTCACCTAAAGAAGGTATCCATGAGTGAACAGGTGTGGGAGAACCTATTTGCAAGTGGGACTAAATAATTTGCAACATACATATCTTTATTTACAACTAGAATTAATCCATTTACATGTCATCCCGCAGTAAGTATTATGAGGGGTAATAGCATCATTTTCTTTGTGAAATTAATATCACTTTGCCCCCTTGATCCTGCAGTAAAGTTTCAGAAAGTTTTGGGAGCTCTTTGAAATTAATTCTGTATTGCGGTCCTTAAACGAACTTTTCCCTATTTTAATTCTTTAATTTCGTACTTTGCCATTGACCCCATCTTTCAATTTCCTTCATGGGAAAAGTCTGGAATTCACACTGTACCAAATGGTCTCTTTGAGACGCGCGTGCGTACGATGTTCATGCATGTGGAACGCGTCTTACACTACAATCCAAATACATGTTAGTTGGTATCTTCTTCATACGCTGAGGATCAGATTTATTATGGAAAAGTATTGATGATGGATTATATTAGTAAAGACAGTAATTAATGATTCTCTTTTTGGCTAAATTTTGAATTACAATGACAAGTATACTTTGAGAGTTTTAATTTTATACGAAGTTTTAATTTTAAAAAATATATCTTTAGTACTTTTAACTCTAGAACCATTAACAAAAAATAATGACATTGAGATTTTAAATGTTGACAAAACATATTTAAATACTAATATATTAAGTTTAATTTGCTACGTGTAGATGGGTTGTTACTTCTTCATCATGAATATCCGAGGATCTCTCTGACTTTATTTTCTACTGCAAAAGCAGCAAACAAATAAAACCCTTTTGTTGATGAGTTAGAACAGTATAAATGTTTGAAGACAATAAGAATAGAAATAGTGTAGTCAACACGAAATGTCTTTGGCATTGTCCATATCCAAAAATAAATGTGCATTTGTGATTGAAAGGAACACCAGAAAGGCCGAAGAAGCTACGCTTCCGGTTTTTAATGTAAGATTTTATTTATATAGGATTTAAATTACAAGTTATATCAGAGGATAATATATTATTTCCCTCTATTTTACAAACAAGTTTTAGTCGCCTTTAGATTTTCTTTTAGAATGTGGTGGGGTTAAATCCTACCCCAACGTTGGAAGAATTTATCTGTCTTTGTTCCAAATATGAAATATACCCGATATCAGAAAATGAAAACTAAAGTATCAAAATGATGTAAATGCTATTACCAAAAAAAAATGATGTAAATGCTTGAGGACAATATTGATGTTTGGAAAGTAAAAATAAAAATGAGGAGTGAAAACGAAACATCTTTGACACTGGGGCCCATATCATTAATTATGCTTGAATGGAACACCGGAAATTCTGGAGCAGCCAGACTTGTAGAATTCAATTTTGTTTCCTTTTTTTGAATGATACTCTCTCGCCTGCCTGCTTCTCTATATAAATGGCAGCTTCTTATTTCCTCCTCACTACAAGGATATCCCTCCAACACAGAATCTACCATTAAAGCATCAAGGCAAGCCTTCTTTCTGCATTATATATATATATATATATATATTGCTTATTCGCCATGGCACCCTGTCAGCTTTACACCCTAAAGTCGCCATTTTTTCTGAAGCAAATCTCAGATATTCCAAGAAACAACCCCAGAGGAACTCATTTCTCAAACTCTGCTTCCATGAATAAAGCCGTTTCCATTATTTCCATGCAACAGAACATCACTCATTCAAAATCAACGTTAAATGTGAGGCAATTCTCTTTTATCACTTTTAATTCAATCTTCTATAAACACATACATATTCAAAAAAGAGAGTGTAAAACAAAATAATTTGATTTATTTATATCATCATTATTTCTGATATAGCTATCTAACTGAATTAGATTCGAGCATTGCTAATTAGGAGTAGCTTTCTCATATGTTTTCTGCATTCACGCGGACTCAAACACGACTTGTGCTTAAGCAGTCAAAGCTCTTTCCACTATGATGAATGCATGTTCGGTCATTTATATATCATCTTTAATTTATACTTGTGGGTATAATTGTTACTCATTTTCAGGATGACATTCATATCAGACATGCAAAAGAATTGAAGAACGTTAAGAAAATCTTCTTTGAAAAAGCAAAAGAGAGATCAGTGGATGGTTTATATATGATTGATATGATTCAAAAGCTTGGGATTGAACACCACTTCGAAGAGGAGATTCAAGAAGCTGCTCGGAAACACTATCTGAAGCTTGGAACTCACAGCTATTATAACACAGATCATAATCTTCAGCTCTCTGAAGTTGCACTTCAATTTCGCTTGTTAAGACAACAACTTTGTGATATAGATACGGGTAATTATAAACTTGCCTTTCCTCTTCCAGAAAGTAAAGACTCATAATTAGAATAAGATAGGTGCATGCACGTGATACATATTTATCACGCGAAGCTTTCGTTTCTATGGCTAGATAAATAATAATTCCTTTTAAAAGTCACACATGTCAATTATTGGAATAGCAGAACTGTTCTTGAATCTTAAAAAATGAGTGGTTATTATTGAATCTTATTATGCAGGCGTGTTTGGGAACTTCATGGACAAGAAGGGAAAGCTGAGGCAGAAATTCTGGGGAGACACTGAAGGGCTGATTGAACTGTTCGAAGCTTCACAGTTAAGTATGGAAGGAGAAGATGATCTTCATGAAGCTGGGAACTTTACATGTCATCTTCTAAGTTCAAGATTCCATGATCATCATGAAGCTAATGTTATTGCAAATACTCTCAAGTACCCAATCCACAAAAGTTTGCCCAGGTTTACCCCCAGAAATTTCCATTTTTCAAATTCCCAACTTAACAACGGGTGGTTAATGCCTCTAGAAAACCTGTCCCATATCAATACACAAATTGCTAACTCAATCAACCTGAAGGAGATATATGCAGTGTCTAAGTGAGTTTTTTGATATAATATTAGATAACAATTCTATATATTAGCCTATTTATAAAAGACAAGTCCTAGTCACATTCTCGTACTGACACAGTTTTATATATGTAATATATATAGGTGGTGGAAAGAGCTAGGTTTGGCCAAGGACTTTAAGTTTGCTAGAGACGAGCCGATAAAGTGGTACATGTGGTCCATGGCATGCCTCACGGATCCTATCTTTTCAGAAGAAAGGATCGAACTCACAAAGCCCCTATCTCTGGTATACATAATTGATGATATATTTGATGTTTATGGAAGTTTGGATGAACTCAGTGTCTTTGTAGATGCTGTTAAGAGGTAAATTATTTTTCACACACATAAATACTTAATTATGAAAATCATAACAAGTTTCTCATTGGCCTTAGCACAATAAATCTATGAATATTAATGCAGATGGGATTTGGGAGCAACTGAGCAATTACCAGACTACTTGAAAGCTTGCTTCAAGGGCCTCTATGATATTACCAATGAATTTTCCATTAGGGTCCAAAACAAACATGGATGGAATCCTGTAAAAACATTAATCAAATCGGTAATTATAAATTAAGTTCATGTTTCAGTTTATAAGGAAAAGACATCTCTTTTAAGGGGAAAAAATCATTGATTTATAATTTCTTTTTTGCAGTGGATAAGATTGTGCAATGCCTTTTTGGAAGAAGCCAAATGGCTCAGTTCAGGGAAGTTACCAAATAGTGAGGAGTATTTAGAGAACGGGATTGTGAGCACAGGGGTGGATGTGTGCCTTGTGCACGCATTCTTCATGTTAGGTGAAGGCATTACCAATGAAACTTTGGTTCTCATGGATGGCTTTCCACCTTTGGTATCCTCCACATCCACAATTCTCAGGCTCTGTGATGATTTAGAAGGTGCAAAGGTACGAAAGAAATGAGGTTATAATTAAGATTTAAATATATTGTGTGGGGATATATATTAGAATTATATTGGATGACTGGCCACAGTTAAATCGCGATTTAGTAAATCCATTCATTCAACTGTTGATTTAGTTTTCAAGACCTCGGCGACCAATCGATCTAGGTTGCAACTATCTGTAACCTTGTATTTCTCTCAATACTCCCCCTAATCTCTTAACTATGGGAACTAAACAACTTATTTACAGAGATCGAGGAAATCGGTTAATTAGTAATTTGTAAAAATGTGTGTTGCCTAAAATACTCTTTTCAATCATTTATATTAAAATTACTCTTTGATGAAAATTTTCTGAGTATGTGCAATCAATCGCAATAGTTCAAGAAAAAGATATTATAAATAGAGGTGATAAAATGAATTGAGATCTTATATTTAAAACAAAAGTAAATCCCCCAACTAACTCCTACATTTTGAACTAGAGGAAGTATACTACATATGATGTTAAATTGGTACATTTTACAAACAAATTCAAAAATATTTTCGTGTGAAGTAGAAAACTAGAATACTATGATACCATTATATTTAAGGAAATTTGGGTGCAAGTCCAATTCGAAGCTGCATGATTGTTTGACATAATTTATCTACTTCACATTTGGACCACAAATTTAGAAGACCCCAATCCACAGGCCTCAATGTAATATCTTTTTCTTTGTACAGGACAATGATCAAGTTGGTAAAGATGGATCCTATCTTACCTGTTACATGAACGACCACCCAGGAGTTTCTGAGGAAGCCGCAAGAGAACATATCAAACATAAGATCTCGGATGCATGGAAATGTCTCAACAAAGAATGCTTCACTCCAACAAATCCATTTCCCTTGTCTTTTGCTAAAGTTTGTTTGAATGCTGCGAGGATGGTGCCTATAATGTATAGTTACGATAACTGTAGCCCATCAAGGCTAGAAGAGCATGTAAAATCTTTGCTTTATGGTGATGGGCTCAGAGAGATGATACAGCAGAAAGATCAGACCCTTGTATTGTGAAAATAATGGGGCATTACTTTTTATTATCACACTAGTTATATCTAGGGGTGTCTAGGTGGAAACCAAACTATGGTTTTAAAAGTGATTTTATAATATATAAGGTGACTATGTAAGGAGAGTTTTGTTTCAATTTGTGTAAATGTGCTTTTTAAAAATAGTTGTGTATGGTCTTTTATAATTTGTATAATTTTAGGGAGACAGACAAGAGTTGAGTCCAAGGAGACTTGTTACTAATAAAAGTCTATTTCTTTTTATCTAGATGTCGGTTTCGCGTGTTGCACAAAGTTTACAAATAGTACCATTTACAGTACTTCTATTTACAAAACATTAAGACACAGGATATTAGAAACAGGATATAAAACATTGTTTATGTATGATTTGAAAATGAGATGTATTTTCATGATACTTTTAGACATACGCATTGATTTGCTACGTTATTAAGGAAGATATAAAATAAGAGGCATCCCATTAAGCAAGAATACCGAAAAGTTGATGGATATTATTATTATTATTATTATTATTATTATTATTATTCAATTAGATATTTTATTGAAATTCCAAGCGCTAGCTCATCTATATATATGTTTTTTATATAAAAAGATCAATTACACATTAAACAACATAAAAGACAAGAAGTCTGAAACAAGCAACTACGTACATAAAAGACAAGACTATTACATAAGCGCCAATGAAGGACCACAATTGATCAAATGGATAAGAATAAATCACGAGATAGAGGCCTCAGATATCAATCATTAACATAAGAGTTAATTTAATATTCAAATTGGTCCTAAATATAAGACTCTAATTTACTTTTTTTCCTCATATTTATTCATTTTTTAAGGTGATTCTTGTAGTAGTTTCACATATTAAAGGTCTCATCAAATGGTAGTTCTAACTAATATACATAATTAACAAGAGTATTCTATGAAAGACAAAATCTATTTATTACAAATAACTAATTTAACTAGTTTCTTTAATCTATCCAAATTAGTCAACTAGCTCTTATATTAGGAACCAGGTGTAGTAATTAATTTATTTATGTAATTTTTTTAAATTAATTAAGTAACTCTTATATTAAAAAGAGGAAGGACCGGGTGATGCACAAAACCCTAAAAACAAGTGCAGCAGACCTTCAAAGGAGGTGACGCACAATGTCACTTACGATTATTGATAGGGCAATCTTATGGTCAACAGGGAAAATGCACAGAACAAATTAGAAGCCATGTGGGTCCTATGCCACATGAGAATACGGTTGGTGTAACAGTCAAGCTCCTCAGACGGGCAAGTTGGAGATGAAGAAGATGCTTAAAAGGAAGCAATTATTGTGGAATTTCAAATTTCTATACTGTCCTAAATATCACGTAAAAATTGATTTAAAGGTTTGTTTTGATCATAAATATAACATCTTAATTCATTTTGTCTCTCTCAAATTTATAAATAACTAACTCAAATAATATTTTTAATTTCTGTGAATTAGTTACTTAGTTTATATATTTAGGATCAAATGAAGCATTTAATTATTGGCTTGTGATACTAGAATAATGTCCTAATCAGTAGTAATTGGGACATTATTACTGTTCCTTCCCAAAGAACATTGTCGGTATTGGCTTATAGTGCCCATAATGCCTTAAACCTATGGCTACAATAGTTGATAATGAAGCATATCATGAATGGACATGATTTTCTCCCAGCGATATTTAGGAAATTACCATTTATGTGAAAATAATAAGAAAAACACTTAGTCAGGGCTTTCTAAACCAATAACACTAAATACTTTCTTAAATCTTTTTTAAATATAACATTCAGGGTTCAACCCTCTATGAGTAAGATGTGTGTGGGTGTCATCCTTTCATTGAGTGAAGGATGGTGAAAAGCCTAAAAATATTCAGCATATTGATGCTGATAATAAACATTGTTTCATTATTGATTTCAAGGAAAGAATATTTGAAATATAATTTGAATGAAAGAAATGCAAACTTTAAATGAATGGAGAAGAGGAAAGATAGAGAACAAATTAAACTCAATTTCTTCTTCTCCTTCTTCTTCATTATTGATTTCAAGGAAAAAATATTTGAAATATAATTTGAACGAAACAAATGCAAACTTTAAATGAATGGAGAGGAGGAAAAATAGAAAACAAACTCAACTCTTCCACCACACAACTCTATTTCCTTTTTCACATGTAGACCAAACTGGATCGGACTAGCTAGTCAGGCCAAATTGGGTTCTAAGCCAAGTCATTAGACCAATTGGTCTGGTCCGATCAGGTCCCAATGAATTTTTCATATTTTGTAATATCACATCAACCCGTTTGTGATCACTCGTGTAATTGGAGGCTGGAGCCAGAATTCCATTCCATGCATGTGGTGGTTCCTGTCATCTTTATTGTTGGAAACCAAGTGGTCCCTTTCTTTTTCTGTGGTATGCAGTCAAAGGGTCCCTTTTAAATGCACATAAATGTGTAAAACAAGCAAATGTGTAAAGCATGTTCATGAAAACCAAAAATCAAGATAGGTGGCACTCTTTTGTGTTCTAGATATAGAAACTGAAGAATTTGTTTTGATCCTAAGTATCATCTTTAATACAAGACTCAATTGATTAATTTAGAGAGACTAAGAAAACTAAATAAATTACTGTAAATTATTTATATTTACTATTTTCTTCAAACTAATTTACCTAATTTATAGACTAATATATAATTTAATGATGCATATAAGTATTTTCAGAAAGATCATGTAAGATATGCTTTAATTAAGTTTTTTTATTTAATCTTTTAGTCAACTTGAGAAGATTTTTGCTTTACAAAGTTGAATAGTCATCATATTCAACTTGCCTCTGAGTTCTGACTCATTTAATTGAAAATTTTCTCCTTATTTTCCTCTTTTTTTTATTTGGATTAATATAATTTTTGATCCCTCAAGTTTGTCCTTATTTTGGTTTTGCTCCCTCAAGTTTCAAATCATAGGTTTTAGTCTCTCAAGGGGCAAAATAGTCTAAGTTTTTATTGGATTATAAGGACCAATGTTTTAAATGAAAAGAAATTTAAGAGACCAAAATCTATTATTTGAAACTTGATGGGCCAAAACTAAAATGGAAGTAGACTTGAAGGACCAAAGTTTGTATGAACCCTTTTTATTTATTATTTTTAAGTATTACTTCCTTTGGTTTTAAATGTATGAGCTAATCGGAAAGTTTATTTGATATTGAACAGAAAATCAGTCAACCCGATAAGATTTTTGCCTTGCAAAGTTGAATAGTCATGGTATTCAACTTGCCCTTGAGTTGTGACTCATTCAATTGAAAAATTACTCCTTATTTTTCTCTTTTTTTTATTTGGGTTAATCTAATTCTTGACCTCTCAAGTTTGTCCTCATTTTGGTTTTGGTCACTCAAATTTAAATCATAGGTTTTAGTTCCTCAAGGGGCAACATGGTCCAAGGTTTTATTAGATTATAAAGATCAATGTTTTAATCCAAATAAAATTTGAGAGACTAAAATCTATGACTTGAAACTTAAAGGGCCAAAACTAAAATGGGAGTAAACTTGAAAGACCAAAGTTCATATTAACCTTTTTTATTTATTATTTTTAAGTATTACTTCCTTTGGTTTTAAATGGATGAGCTAATCGAGAAGTTTATTTGATATTGAACAGAAAATCATGATTCACTTTGTCTTGTAAATTTATAAATTTTTCTCAAACTATTCTATTGTTAGCACATATTGAAAAAGGATTTTTATATGAGGTACCTCACACTGAAAACTATTAAAAATTGTATCTTGAAAAGACTAACACATGCTTTATACAAATAATTATCATAACTGATTTTTTTTTTAAATTAGTCATTAAATTCCTACACTTAGAATTAGATTAATATTATTAATTATCCTATTGCGGTGGCTAAAAGTACTCCCTTCTTGACTTTCTTCATCCCCATTTTCTATTTCTAAAACTACCACTAATTAATTGTTCATTAAATATGACAATCAGCTTAGCGTTTAGGGTTTAGAATTTTAAGTTCATTAAATAATTAAGTAATTTTTTTTAATTTTTTAAATCTTTTTAAATTATTCAATTTGCAATTTTATGTCCTTAAGTCATGAGTGTTCTCCTTGAAACCAATCTTAGAAGATCGATATCCTATTATAATAAAAAGGGCTGCAATACATATTGAGAATTGCAGAAAATCCTAGAAAAGCTCAAAGATATCATAGTAGATCTTTAAGTTGTTGAGCCACAAAGTTATGACAATTTTCTCGGAAGATGATGACCTAAGATGATTTCTAAATATAGAGACCTCCAAGTCTAGCAAAATATGGTGGGAAGCTCATTCATGACTTTTCTACTGGCTTGTTTTGAATGCCTTATAAGGTAAGTGGCTTTCTAATCGTGACTTACGAAATACGAGTTAAGTATGTAAAAAGAATTTTTTCTTGACTTAGATACACTTGCTTAATTATAAATGTTTAATTTATAGACTGAAAAGTTGATAGAAGGTAAAGATTAAGAAAAGTAAAGAAACAGAAGAATGAAAAGCAAAAACAATTAAGAGAGAGAAAATAATAAGAGGTCAAATCACAATATCATTACTTACTTGCGAGAACTTTCTTAAGAGAAAGACGAATAGAAAGTTTATTCATGGCTTTTCTCAAACAACCATATTGCTAATTAACTAGGTATATGAGCATATATTCATCTGGTTAGGTGACTAGATGAATATGAGCCCATGCTCATCTGGTCAGCCCAACTAGACCAGTGTGATTCCTTTTTTCTTCTGTTCTTAATTTTAGATGAGAATAGGCGATGAAAATAAACCTTTTTGTAGCAATGACTGTTATATTGCTTTATACAAAGAATTCTTTTAAGAGAAGACAAATTTCTATGAACTCATATAGGATATTTAAAACCATGCACAGTGGTATGTAATAAGTCAAGAATGGCTTACAAAAATATAAAGGTAAAGAAAATACTACAGAAATAATTGGGATGAGAAATAAATATGTTATCAATTAATATCCCAATATTAAGTCAGCAATCCATGCTTACGAGAGAAAATGTCATGAAAGTCAGCCAGAGATAAGCATGTAAATACTACCTCAGGTGCTTATCATAAGTTTCAAATAACTAATTTTCACACAATTAGTTAAAAACAATAAATAGGTAAAAAATATACTTTTTTTTTTCAAGTATACCGTTATAATAAATGAAGAAAAAGCCGGAGGAAAATATATGAAAAAAATGTAATGGGAGAATGTGTGGCAAAGAAGAGAGAATAAAATGAACTAGATCCCTCTCTAAATTTTTTTTGATAGTACAAAGCAGCAGACATAACTAGCGACTTATAGACACACTAACATTTGGGTTCCTACTGAAGCATTCTTTTCCAAACACATGTCGCAGCCAATCAGGTACCTCCGCGAATATGACGAGTTCAGTTTCCATGCACGTAGCGAATTTAGCTAGAGCGTCCGCGATGCCATTTACGTCCCTGTGGCACCACTTGATCTCCACCTCCCAATCTCTGTTTATCATACTTTGAATCTCGGAAACAGTGACCACATCCGGATGTTCCCCGTCCACCCCAGAAAGGATAGCAGTAATTGCTTCAATGCAATCACTTTCCACTTCCACCATTCTGAACCCATGCTCCCAAGCTACCTTCAGAGCCCACAAGATTCCGAATATCTCAGACGAGAGACTCGAACCTTCCACCATGCGGTGAAGAAAACCACAAACCACTTCGCCCCTGTGATTCCTAGCCACGCCCCCACAGCCTCTGGTATATCTCTGTGTATCAAAGGAACCGTCTACATTAAATTTGATGCATCCTTCATAGGGAGGGTTCCATTTAAGCACACCTTCCGATTGCTGGGAAGAAAGGGACGGCTTATTCCAGTTGAGACAAGCTCTGGTCCGAGCGAGGATGTCAAAGGGATGTTGAGAAGTTCCATTGAAAATTTTATCATTACGAGCAAGCCAGAGAGCCCGGCACACTATTGCGAACCATTGCTTCCACTCAAAATTATCCACAGAGTCATTGTTAGCAATATTCCATCTGATCCAATCAGTGACATCGCTGTCCCGAAAGAATTTGCTTTGCCTCCTCACTGGTACAATTAGCTTCCAAACTTGTCGTGCGTTAATGCAGTCGCGAAGCACATGAATCGTTGTTTCCGTAGTAAGGCCACATATCTCGCATAGGCCTGAGTCATGCAGCCCCTTCTTCATCCGAGCCTCATTAGTAGTAAGTCTGTTCCTAGCACTAAGCCAAAGAAACGTTCGGCACCGTTGTGGAACTCGAAGTTTCCATAAGTGCCGCCAAAAGTTCTGTTGCACATGCCCAAGAACAGGCCATAGAGATTGATACGTAGACTTCAAAGAGAATCTACCATCTGCCGTCCACCTCCAAACAGGGATATCAGCAGACTCACTACAAGGAACGCTAACCTGATGAAGATCAGCGATAACATTAGCTGGGAGGAATTGTTCAAGCTTCGAATACTCCCAACAGCCGGAAGCCGATATAACATCAGCAACCTTCCAACGAATGACGTCATCGGGAATATCCCGAACAGCAGCATCCTTCAACAGCGTACCTCGTGGGACCCACCTATCAGTCCAAAAATTAGCTTCCTGGCCTGAACCCAGTTGCCATCTCACACTCTGTTTAGTGTGCTCCCACATAGAGCAGATGCCCGACCACGTCCTTGAGCATTTACGCCTTTTCTCGACTTTAGGAATAAGATCCACCCCACATTTATATTTCTCCCGCAAAAACCTCACCCACAGTGCATCACGGCGTTTCACTAAACCCCAACCCAACTTGACCATATAACAGGCATTTTGATCCGACGCACGCCTTAAACCGAGCCCTCCGTCAGATTTGCTACGACAAACAGTGTCCCAAGAGACAAGATGTGGTTTCCGACTTGTGGCCGTGTCGCCCCATAGAAAACGTCTACATCTTTTATCGATTTCATCACATACAGCAATAGGAAGTGGTGTAGTTTGCATCGCATAATTGGGTAAAGCAGATACCACAGACGACACCAAAGTATGACGGGCTGCAAATGACAGCGCATTCGCCTTCCAACCTGAAAGTCTTGACTCCATCTTGCGCAGAATATATTGAAAGGTATCCTTTGACACACGTTCATGATACAGCGGCATGCCGAGGTATTTGCCCAAATTAGCCGTGGACTGGAAACCCAAGAACTCGCTCATCTCCTTGCTTCTCATGTGATTAACATTCTCCGAGAAGTAGATTCTGGTCTTGGATGCATTTACTTTTTGACCAGAGATCATACAGAAATCATCCAAGATAGCTTTAATGAGCCCTGCTTGTTCCATATCAGCTTCTGCAAATAGAAGAAGATCATCTGCGAAAAACAAGTGAGAAACAGCTGTTCCTTTCTGATGAAGCCTAAAAGGCCTCCATTCACCCCGATCAACTTCCCCCTGTATGATGTGACCAAGTTTCTCCATAGCAATGACAAAAAGGTATGGGGACAGGGGATCCCCTTGCCGGACACCTCGAGAAGGTTGGAACTGATTGGCTTTCTCACCATTCCAGAGAAGCTGCATAGTGGGAGAAGACACACAAGCTTCTATTACCCTACGAATGTAAGGGGGGATACACAACTCTTTCAAACAGTCAAAAATAAAGTTCCAGCGAACCCTATTGTATGCTTTCTCTAGATCAATCTTAATAGCCATAAAGCCTCTCGTCTTCCGCCTCTTCTTCATTGAGTGAATAATCTCCTGAGCTAGAATAATATTGTCTGTGCTCTGTCTCCCCTTCACAAAGCTACATTGATTAGGGGCAATAATCTTGGGCATAATTTCCTTGAGTTTGTTAGTTATGATCTTGGTCACCATCTTGTATATAACGTTGCACAAACTTATCGGTCGAAAGTCCCGAATGGTTTGCGGCGTCTCTGTCTTTGGGATTAGTACTATCTGTGTATCATTAATATCTCTCACGCGTGTCGGATCCTGAAAAATCTCTTCCACCTTTCTACTAACACTGGCACCTACCACATCCCATTGACTTTGGAAAAAGAGGGGATTCAAGCCATCCGGCCCTGGTGCTTTGAGAGGACTCATGTCAAACAAAGCTCGTTTAATCTCAATATTATTAACTTGTCTGCCCAAGTTGTTTAGTTGAACGTTGTCAATCACGGGGTATCCCACATCAAAAATAATTGAGTTTCCTGTGTCAGGTTCCTCAGAGTAGAGGGACTCAAAAAACTTTGTACCCATTTCCATAATCACTTTGGAATCATAAGACCATTCTCCTGAATCAAGCTTGAGGGCCTCGATTCTATTTCTCCGGCGTCTACTATTAGCCACACTATGGAAGTAGCGTGTATTTCGATCACCATGTTGGTACCAGTTGCACCGTGATTTTTGCAACCACATAACTTCCTCCTGAGCAAGTACTTCCTCTAACTGCACCCATACCTCCCTTCGAGTCTGTTCTAGGCGGATAGTAGACCCCGTGTAAGTGGTCTTCCTGTCAAGATCTTCTAGGCGTCGATGTAGCTGTTCCTTTCTCTTGTTAATATTCCCAAATACGTCTCTATTCCATCGAACGAGCTCCTTGGTAAACTTGGGAATATTTTCCGCCCAATCCCCTTATTGAGGCCACGTTGTTCTAACGAAAGGGGAGAACTGTTCATGCATGACCCAAGGAGCAAGAAACCGAAAGGGCCGATTGCGTGCTGCAGACCCAGCTGAGGATACCATTTTGACTAGAAGAGGGCAGTGGTTCGATTTATACATGGGGAGGTGAATCACAGAGGCATTCATGAAAGTGTCGTGCTATTGATAGTTCACTAGAACCCGATCAATACGGCTAGCACTAGCTCCCCTATGCCAAGTAAACTTGGGTCCGCTAAACCCAATATCTCGCATATCACTAGCCATTACCCATCTACGAAAGGCTGTCTCAGGAGGCACATATCTACCTGTCGGTGTTTGACGATCCTCCTGGAGAAGAGTAGCATTGAAATCACCGGCCACAACCCAATGACCTGAAATGACACGAGTTAAATCTTGGAGTCCTTGCCAAAGGAAATGACGTTTACAGTATCTCGGGTCCCCATATACTATGGTAAGAGCCCACTCATCATTTTTACCTCTATTTACTGTACCATGCATGAAGTATTCCGTTTTATAGTCCACTGAGAACTCAAAAGAATCACTCCAGAACACCCAGATCCCACCACCAAAACCTCGGGTGTCCACAATTTCCTTATTCTTCCAACCCAAACGTTGTGAAAGGTGTAAGGCTTTATCATTCTTTTGTCATGGTTCAAGAAGAGCTAGAAGCCCAACATGATGCCGATTTTGAATATCACACAGTAGACGACTAAATATTTTACCTCCAACTCCTCGTGAGTTCCAAATGAGTAGGTTGCTATCCATAGGAAACACAAAGGTTTTGAATGGGCGTCCACAAGAAGAGACTCAACAATTTACGGCCTCGCCTGTTGCCGCATCGAGCACGACAGTATCCTCAGTTCCACCTTCTAACAACAGATTTGAACGAATAATGCACCCCTCCCCTGCTTCTGCACCTGGGTCAATGGGATTACTTGCCACCGGATTAACCGATGACGAGGCAATTTCTTGGTAGGGAATAATTGCGTGGGACTTGGTCTCCATGTGTGTAGCGTGGACCTTTGAAATATCGGACATGACAGGTACTAAGGCTAAAGACGATGAAGCCATACTCCTGATATTTTCCTTAGACAAGTCCACTTGTGCTCTGACCCGTGTGTACTCCTCCATTGGGCTAACTTTTGCTTTATTACGGCCCGTATCTTTTTCTTTAGGGGCAATCCCACTTATAGCCCTTGATTTGGGTCCCACTGGTATTCCACGTGATTTGCTCCCCTTATTTTTAGCTTTCAAATCATTAGTAGTATCATGCATCTGATTGCCCAACATCCTTACGTGATTCTCATTCTGTGATACATTATCTTCTTCCGTCGATAAGGCTGAGAATCGGGATCCCATTCCTCCTTGATTACTATTCCCCTGATTTTCAGCACCTTGAACCTCTTGATTATCGGGGCTTCTGCGATTTGGAAACCGAAACTGGCGCCGCTGATTGCGGCGAGACGCCTGCACCATCCAACCACCATACGGTGTGCCTTTCTCTCGTTCTGGGTATGACGGCGCCGTCGTGGGTTTAGCTCCTGTATTACGACTATCTTTGCCTTGACCACAGCTCTCATCGGGACGACTAGGACAGTGGTCTTGGTCATGACCGTACTTGCCACAACCAAAGCATATAAGGTGCAACCCTTCATACACGATTTTCTTCTCTTTTCCATTGATCAAAATAGCTGGTAGTAATGGCTTTTGAAGGTCTAGCTCAACGCAAAGTCTTGCAAAGCGTGCCTTTGACCGATGTTCAGTATTTCTGTCTACACGCAGAACTCGACCGATTTGATTACCAACTACATAGAGAACACCCAGATCATAATAATCCAAAGGGAACTGCGGAATCCTCACCCAAGCTGCAATCTTCGAAACTTCCTCCTCAATAGGATCAAAGTCTGGCTTCCATGGTTGCACTGCTAGGTAGTGGTCCAGTATGAGCCATGGTCCACCAGTTAATGCGAACTCATAGTCATCTTGATGTTTGAAATTAACAATGAAGTATCCTGCACCAAACTCCAACGTCTCGACATCACCATTATGCCCCCAAATCTGCTGTAGTTTCATTCCTAGATAGTCTTCACGAACCATCCGTCCTAACAATCTAACGAATAGCGTGAGTCTCCACTTCCTCGCAAGCTTCTTTTTGAACTCAGGTAACACAATTACATTGGGTCCCCTGTTCGTGTTCTCGACTTTCAGTCTTCTTCGCCACCCCTCATCGAACCACCATCCCTCTTCCTCCTCATCTTCACTGCTCAGCCCATCAGTATTCGCACACGCTTCACGGTACGATTTCCTTGGAGTCTCTGACTCCATAGGCCCCGTATCATCAGTCATCCACTCCTCCTCACGTGGGACCACCGGACGTCCGTACACCACTACCGCATCGCCTGTTCTCACTTTTTTCCGACTCCTCGCCAGCGCGTCAGCCTCTTCTACCGACTGTGCCGTCTCACCCTCCCCTTGCGCACTCTTGTTCATCTCCCTCGGAGTTCAGGTCCTCTCTAAATTTAAAAATTATAAATAAGACTGAAGGGACGACAAATATAGGAGAATGCAAAGTTTTACGACTATGACCCTTTCTTATTGATTGTCAAAAAGCCCTTGTAAGTTGTTCCCCCAAACTTTGCAAAAATTAAACCCAATCAAAATTAAGCATTTTGGAACTATGGATTGTTTTCAAGCTGAAGAGAGTCTAGCATTCTTTTTTTAACAAAATAGAGTTTAGTATTATGGGCTTTGAAGTTAATCTCTTGTAAACCCAATGAAAGAATAAATAATGAATCTTATGTTTTTAAAAGTATTAGCTCAGCCAATAGAGTTAAGTCTAGACTAGAGACTAATTCCACATAATGTGGCAAATCAAAATTTAAATATCTTTAAGAAAGATGCATATATTCAGTGTCTGACAATATCTTAAATATAATTATCTTTTATAGGAGGATGCCTACACTTATAAAAAATGGAAAGTTTGAATTCAATTGGGCCACGGGTATGGTACAGTATAATATTATATATATATATATATATATATATATGAGAAACTTGCTCACGTTTTTCTTTCCGTGAGAATTTGTTCCTATAAAGGAATAATTTAGAACTAAATGATGAATTCAAAACAATTTTTTATTTTAATAAAAATATAAAAACCTGGTTAATAAAATTCAACTTCCATTTCAGGTGAAAAAAACAAGAAAAAAAAAATCAACTTCTCTTCGGCTGTGCTAAATCACTTCTGTTTTCCTACCTAAAATTCGTCGTAAAGTCATGCAATTGACATTTTGTTTAAATTATATCATGTGACAGACATTTATCCTTCAAAAGAAACCCTAACATCTTATAAAAGATCGTATGTTTTGTTTCCCTTAGTCCTTTATTTTCTTAATCATTATTAGCATCCCTCTTATGATCAATCTCTCCTTTGAAACAATATATTGAAGAAACTCAATTAAGATAACAGATATTCCAAAGTAGCCCTTTTCAAATCCTTGAAAGAGCCCAACAAAAAAAAAACCAAAACCAAAACCAAAAAAAATTAGGGCAAGAATTAATATTTTCCCTCTTATTTGCCTGGTCTCGTTTTTTCCTTCCTCGCACTTAGGTAGAAATTCTTAATATATGGTCAAGCATTAGATAGGCATACCGTTGGCGCAAAAAAAGACAAAGAAAGAAAGCCATGCCAGATAATTAGTCGGAGATGAAAAATATTTGAAGATAACATAATATACATAAATGGATACAAAAAGTAAAAAGAAAAAAAAACAGCTAACCATATTTTTTTTTCTTTTTACCAAAAAATAGACACTGAGGGTTCGACTGCTATCAAAAGCCAACTCAAGAAATAAAAATAATTACATTCGTTCCGTCCTAAGTAGCAATAATTCATTTTCCCATTTATTATTTAGATATCACAAAAACAAAATTTATCTTTGTATTTCATTTCAATAAAAGCAAATGTTGTTAGAACAGGAATGGATATTAAACTTACCAAGACACTGAGTCCACGTTCAGTTGCTGAACCGGTCAAACTGATTTCAACTACTGAAATATATTTTAAAGAATATGTTTAAACAATAAAAATATCTTAAATAATTTTACCTATACCCTTCTTTGCATGCTAAAATTATAGTCAATCACACTAACATTACAATAAAAATATTTATTGTCTATTACAAATCACAAAAATTATCAAGTATGTCAGATTAATTATCCAACTTATTAAACTTGTAATATTCTATGATTAATCAGAAGTTCAGAACCACCAATAAATCATCAAATATACAACATTAAAGAAAAACCCATTGAAAAATGGATTAAAACAAAAAGTAACATGATTTTGGGTATTGGAAAATTTAAAAATAATTCTAAAAAAAACGGTTTTGATTTGTTTTCACTGTTTTTTACTCGTTCTTGACTAGTTCACTTTTGCCTTGGTTATGGTAGCTACATATCAAGGTTGGACCATAAGCTGGTTCCCAATCGAACCACCCTTTTAGGTTTAGTTTTGACAATCATTCTCATGACAAAATAAAATGGTTTCACAATCAATAAGGATAACATAAAAAACAATAAATAAGGGAACCAAGTTCTTACCCAAAAAAAAAAAAAAAGGGAAACAAGTAACGGGATTTGAATCTTTCTTACAGAATCATAAAAAACTCCGAAATTAACTCCTATATTTTGATAGGATAGGGAATAGGTCTTTTAGGGAAGCATAGTGACAAATATTATGGTGGTATTCCATCTTATGATGTAACAACTCTCATCTTCACCAAGTTCCCTCTGCCTGAGCCCAACCTCCTCCTAAATGCTCCGCTCTGTCATTCCTCCATTGCACAGATCTCTGCGGCCTCCACATCTGGCAGCGACGCCTCTGTTATTGGAACTAGCTTCTCGATGTTCTTATACTTGGAGGAGATCTAGCTCTGCTTGCTTGAATAGATCATTCAAAAATATTTTAGCTTTGGATTCCATTGTTAGAAGCTGAGACTAGATTTTGGTAGCAAGGGGAGAGAGATAACATGGAGTGAAAAGGAGAGGGGCCATAGGGAAGGAGACGGGAAAGAAATTGCAGGGAGGAGAGGGTGATTTTAGGGAAAAAAAAATGGTGGGACCCACAGCTATGTTCTCTGAATTTTTTACCAATTCCATGTCAGATTAAAATGCCTCCAGTAGGAATACATACAGAGTTTGAATGAAGTGGTAAGTACCCAAGAATTCCTCAAAAAGCACAATGCGTGTCAAAATAACACTGCTACTCACTTTGTCGGAGGGATTTTAGTCCTTTTTATTCGTCACTTGTATTTTTTTTAATGTTTCATTTCTAATTCTGCTCTTATTAATTATAGTAAAGGTGAAGAGGGAAGAAATAAGTAAAAGCAAATATAGTAGTATTTAACAGTTTCCTTAATAAGGATAAAAATGAAAGATTTTACCTATTTATTGTTTTCCTTCTACCAGTGACAAATAATAAGGGCAAAAGTGACACTGGAGAAGCAAGACTAGTAGAATTCAATAGTCACCATGAAACATGTTTAACATTGGGGCCCGTGTCTTTAATTATGCTTGAAAGGAACACCAGAAATGCCAGAGAAACCAGCCTTGTAGAATTCAATTTTGTTTCCTTATTCTTTAATGATACTTGCTCATTCACCATGGCACCCTGTCAGCTTTACACCCTAAAGTCGCCATTTTTTCTGAAGCAAATCTCAGATATTCCAAGAACCAACACCAGAGGAAATCATTTCTCAAACTCTGCTTCCATGAATAAAGCTATTTCTATTATTTCCATGCAGCAGAACATCACTCCTTCAAAATCAACATTCAATGTGAGGCAATTCTCTTTATCACTTTATCACTTTTAATTCAATCTTCTATACAAGCGCACATATTCCAAGAGAGTGTAAAACAACATAATGTGATTCATTTATGTCATCATTATTTCTGATATAGCTATCTCACTGAATTGGATTCGAGCATTGCTGGGTCCCTTTAGGACTAACTCTCTTGGGCTTAATTAAGAGTAGCTTTCTCATATGTGTTTTCTGCATTTACACGGACTTAAACTCGAGACCTTGTGCTTAAGCAGTCATAGCCCTTCCACTGTGATCAATGCATGTTTGTTCATTTACATATCATCTTTAATTTATACTTGTGGGTATAATTGTTTCTCATTTTCAGGATGACATCCATATCAGACATGCAAAAGAATTGAAGAACGTTAAGAAAATCTTCTTTGAAAAAGCAAAAGAGAGATCAGTTGATGGTTTATATATGATTCAAAGGCTTGGGATTGAACACCACTTCGAAGAGGAGATTCAAGAAGCTGTTCGAAAACACTATCTGAAGCTTGGAACTCAGCTATTATAACACAGATCATAATCTTCAGCTCTCTGAAGTTGCTCTTCAATTTCGCTTGTTAAGACAACAACTTTGTGAAAGATGCATGCAGGTGATACATATTTATCACGCGAAGGTTTCGTTTCTACGGCTAAATAAATAATAATTCTTTTTAAAAGTCAGACATGTCAATTATTGGAATAGCAGTACTGTTCTTGAATCTTAAAAACTGGGTGGTTATTATTGAATCTTATTATGCAGGGGTGTTTGGAAACTTCATGGACACGAAGGGAAGGCTGAGGCAGAAATTTTGGGGAGACACTGAAGGATTGATTGAACTGTTCGAAGCTTCACAGTTAAGTATTGAAGGAGAAGATGATCTTCATGAAGCTGGGAACTTTACATGTCATCTTCTAAGCTCAAGATTCCATGATCATCATGAAGCTAATGTTATTGCAACTACTCTCAAATGCCCAATTCACAAAAGTTTGCCCAGGTTTATGCCCAGAAATTTTCATATTTCAAATTCCCAAATTAACAATGGATGGTTAATGCCTCAAGAAAACCTATCCCAAATCAATACACAGATTGCTAACTCCCTCAACCTGAAGGAGACATATGCAGTGTCTAAGTGAGTTTTTTTATCTGATATAAAATACCATAACACTCCAATTAACATACAATTGATTATTAGCCTAGTTATAAGAAACACGTCATAGTTACTTTCTCGTACTGACAGAGTTTTATGTATTACACACACACACACACAGGTGGTGGGAAGGCCTAGGATTAGCCAAGGACTTGAAGTTTGCAAGAGATGAGCCAATAAAGTGGTACATGTGGTCCATGGCGTGCCTCACGGATCCTTTCATTTCAGAAGAAAGGATCGAACTCACAAAGCCTATATCCCCGGTATACATAATTGATGATATATTTGATGTTTATGGAAGCTTGGATGAACTCACTCCTTTGTAGATGCTGTCAACAGGTAACTTTTTTTCATATATTTATAAATATAATTATCATAACACATTTCTTTGGGAAAATTGGGGAAAAATTCTCCATTAAAAATTATACTGGTGAGAATGACTTAAATTAAAGTGTCAATACGCTGTGTGAACAAAAATTGAGAGCACATGTAC